TACCTAATAAATATAAGGGTGAAAAATATTAAAAAAATATACAATTCAAGAAGAGTGTAAATCTACAGTTTTGAAAAAAGTCAATACTTTTTGAAAAATTAGTGTTGTTTGATAAATAAATCACCCTGTATTACATATATGATATTTTTTGTTTTCAAATCATAAATCTAGTAAATAGGTACATTAGTTTAAATCAATATCCAAAATGATCACAAAATGTGTTATTGGATATATTTTATACTATTATTATCACGTGTTATTTAAATTCATACTACGTTATTAAATAAAATGTGCCATTATGACATTATTTATTATATGTTAACAGTTTTTGTACATTGAATTTTTGAGACCAGCAATATGTGATCAAAGCAAATTTAAAGAATTAACCAGTTAATAATTAATTAATACACTGCACTGTACTTACTTTGGTGCAATTATCTGCTTTTAATTCGATTTGATGGGGTTCAAAAGGAGCTAAGGTTCTTAAAAAACCATCTTCTTCGAAACCTGGCTTGTAGGGCATTTGAGCATTAGGTCTCTAAAAAAAAAACATGCGAAAAATAAATATTCTATGTAGAACATCCGTAATGCGTATACAGTACTGGGAATTATACGGATATCAGAATAATTTTACAACTTAAATAAAATATCCATATATACACGAAAATCCACTAAATTATCAATTTAAATGTATTTTTGTAGCTGTTTGTATTTCAATTATGTTATCAAGTATACAAATTTAAAATAATCTGTAGATAATTTGATAACAAAATTCACTGATATTTGACGTTAAGAAGAATATTGTTTTCATAGCACTATAAATAATAAAACATTTACGAATGTATAGACAGCTAAAATGTTACTACTCTTGTTTTTGTTAATTACTAACATCTGTCATCTATTATCTATTTCTGTATTTTGGTTTTGCCTTGGGAAATATGATTATTTGATGAAAAATTATGCGAAGAGCTTGATGCTATCAAGATTTCTCGGAAGGTCTTAAACTTCACAAACAACTAAAACAATTATTCATCAGTTCATCACATTGAGAAAGTAATATCCAAAATATTAAAGGCGAACTAAAGTATATAAACAAGAAACCTTTGAAGCTTGAATGCTTAAATATTTCCAAACATTTTTTGATTATCTAAGAATTATATTTAAGTAGGTACTTTGAATTATTTAAGTGGCAAACGATTAAAAATCATTCGAAAACTTTAATATTTTATCCCGTATGTAATATAAACAATAAATAAATAATGTATGCACATTGTACTGTATAAACTAATATTAGGTACTTCTAAGTTACAATGTTTATATTAAATATAACTATCAAGAACCTACTCGAGCARCTAGTAGGTACTTAAGGACGATATATTGTATTTGTCAGTTATGTTAGTATATTTGCTATACATGATAATATAAGAGTTTAAATACTAGGTAGGTATATGTAACTAAAAATATATCATACATATGAAGGGGGACATAACGAGTGGAACTGGTTACTATTTTAAGTATTGAGTGGGTTGTTTAAGTATGGAAAGAACAATTTGAGCTGATATTGCTATTTCATATTCTAACTACATTGTTTGACGTAAAAGTTTAAATTCATGAGATTTGTTAAGTCAATGGATTTTATAAAAATAAACATAGAAAATGTGTGAAAATTTTCAACTTTTAAAATGGTCATTTGCATCTACATAAATCCAGGTGTGACTGGTGTGAGTGTACAAAAGTAGGGTCAATTATGTTTGGGTTATAACTTCAGCAAACATGTCACATTTTTTTTTTTTTTTTTGATAAAATAAAGTAAACTTAGGTTAGGACTTGAAATTTTGATCTAAAATTTAAAAAAACGATAACATCAATTTTGTTGACGTACTCGTTCAAATAACTAATCACTTCTCGAAACAACTTATTTTAAATGTGACAATAATTACTTTAAAAAAAAAAAAACATGAAAAAATTAGATACATTAGGTAAATCGTAAATATATTACGTGTTATAATACATCGTGATCAGTAAGTTATGCATTTGGTAACTTTTACTACAATGATTCACGTTTCAAAAAATTATGAAAACATCGTTTTAAGCAACAAGATTACGCATAAAAGATAAAACTATATTAAATTATATTTCTAGGAACGACGACCGAAAACAAACCACACTTACTTAGCTCCATAGGCGTGCGCACGGGTGCGGCCTATACGGCCTGTGCCGTACCTGAGTGTGATTTCTTAACTTTCTCTAAAAAAATTATGTTTTATTTTTTTTATAAAATTTTTGTATTATATCTGAGAATTGAGAATGTTAAAAAACATGTTCTACAAAATATTCTGTAAAATCACGGTTCTATCTTTTTATTTATTATCTATGTTGGTAACTCAATTCTGATAAGGTGATTCGCGCCAAAATGTAACGCAATAGATAAGATTCGGATTTTGAATTATTATCAATTAAATTTACGTTTTAATTAAGAAACTTTAAATTTAATTTCTGCAGTTGGAAACTTAATCAATCGGACAAGCATTG